GTTAACACTCCTTTTATATCCATTTATCAGAACAAAGCACTTAAGAAATCTTACTATTTTGGCCCCCTTAACAACTTGCACTCCCTTGCCTTTTAATCCCAGCATCACCATTAGCTTCCTTCTGACTAAGCATGAATGGATGAAGCCACGCTTTTGGTTGGACACTGAAAGCTGAGGTAGGTGGACTGTCGGGTCAAGTGAGCGTCGTGATCAGGTGCTTAGGAAGGTTTCGTTTCATTCCCCATGTCTTTCCAACACACTAATAAAAAATGGAAATCTTCTGTGTCACAAGTGAGGTAGTCCTATATTAGATGTCAAGAAGATAATACCATGGAGGATTTCTGTGAATGTATAGAGGTCAAGATGATGAATGTTCACTACTTAAATATTGATCATTTAAAAAAGGGCAAGCTAAGTAAACAACTATGCATAGTAAACTACTAGGTAAACCACCATGTCCCAGATTTCAAGATTTCTTTGAGTCAAAGATGTGGCAATGAATTGTTTCATGGGTCTTTACTGTCTCTCTCAGAAGAAGTCATCTGATAAAGTCCACATTTATGATAGTTCAGTAATTGTGCTTCTAAGTTGTATTCTGGTTTCACATGTAGCTATAGGCATTTGGCCCCTCAGTCTTAAGGACTGTAACCTATCACTCTCTAGTGCAGGGACTGCCAACTGGTGGTCCGTGGACCACTGGTCCGAAAGGTTGGCGACCGCTGCTCTAGTGTATTTACAAAACAAAGCATTAGCCTCTGCCAACAAGTAAACTGATAAACGAGGCTGCAGCTATGAAATAACAGTGATCCCGGGAGCTGCCTATTGTTGCTGTCCACCTTGTGACTCTTCGCCCTGAACCATTCTCAAACTCCACTCGAGATGGTCTTTTTATTTCCCTTAAACCAAATCACCAACAAAAATCAGTGAGTATAATATGAGCAGAATTAATGATTATCAGTAAAGTAGCAAGCCTGCCTTCTATGGCTTACCACATCACCATTATGAATGGCAAATTCTTTTGTTTTAAAAACAAAGCAAAAGGTTTGAGTTTTTTTACGAGTTCATTAAACTATATGGATGATGCACTTTCCTATTAGCCAAGACAACATTAATCTTTCAAATTAAAAAATAACATAGATGTAAAAAGAAAGTAGTAAAGCTCACTTCCTCTTACTTTTCACATATGGAAAAAAGCAACAACCTTTAATCTAATATAGAAAGTGCTCCTTAATGTTTATACCAGCCACAATAAAGCTTTCAGTGTTAGGAATATTCTAAAGAGTTTAAATAAGTTTTAAATATTTAAATTGTTTACATATTTAAAAATTGGAGCTAATTAAACTTTCCACTTGTGCCTCTAAGCTCACCAAGTGTGACCCCGCCTAAGGCAGGTTCGTTGGGAACCGCATCCGAAAGGCTCACTGAATCCAAGGCATCCTCCATGATGTGCTCTCAGGACTAAGATTTAGCAAAACTTTAAAGGAAGAGCAAAAGCAAAGTTAAAAAAAATGTGTCCTCCAAAAATATTCATGCTAAGAACTCAACAATCTTTTCTCTCAAAGCATTTACCTTAAACATTTAAATAAAGTTTTATATGTCAACACCAAAGATGCCAATTATATGAAACTTATTTCCCCCAAAATTTTAATCACATAATTTAGACCATTAGAACTCTAAGTTGATGACCGAGAGCAAGCCATTCTCCAGGTCACACAAATTGAATGGGGCTCCAGTCTCTGAAACCACAGGGACCAGGAAGTAGTGCAGCTGAGCAGCTAGTAGAGTTAAGCAAGGATGTTAACGGACTCTTCAGCAGATGTTTTGAAGGATAGGAGGAAGTAAAAGGGAAAAAGGATGATAAGGATAAAGATAATATGAAAAGAGTAAAGATAATTTACTTTACAACTAAGTGTGCGTTTACTTTAAAAGTGTGAGAAGTTGAAGCTGATAGCATGAAAGGTTTCTCAATACTTAGGCAGAGCCCAGGTGATCGTCCGAAAGTATGTACAATCAGATAACATATGGATCATGAAATGCAAACGAGGCCTCGTTTCTGTTTATGAGTAGAATTGGAAGCTTAATGCAATCACTATGCAATTTTCAGTGGAAATTACAAGTCTTGTAGTAGGGCTATAGACTAAGCATTGCAACTGTGACCAAAGAGATTTACAAATTTTGAATAAAGTATCAATAACCTGGGTGGGTCTATTACTGAAATGGATGGATCCCAACAATATCCACTGCAATAAAATTTAACCAAAACGTTTCTGGAAGATCTTTGGGTATCTGTTACCTGTGAATCTGACCCGGAGTTTCTGTAAAGGGGAATACTAATTGCTCCCCTTATGTAACTGCTGGCCTCAAATGCAAGAACCTATTGAATGTGAGAATTTGCTGATCCTATCAGAATTAGGATGATGTGCTAGAAAGTAGAGTTCTGACTCTATTCTTTTCCTCTCAAAAAAAGTGTCTGAATTGAACCAAAAAAAATTTAGGCCCATCTGGTCACTTTATTACAATAGTAACACTTCAGAAATTGGAAAGGATTTACTTTAACTAAAAGATTAAAGTAATATTTCTTTGTCTGAAACACGAATCTTTATGAATGTTAGTATTTTTCATTTTTTTAGTTCGTAGAACTTTTAGAACTTTAGACTTTTAAAACTTTTTGTACCAAACAACATATTACTAAATATGCATTTTATGGAATTTAGCATCTTACCTTTTATACTTTTTCTTTTTAACTTTATATTATTACAGCACAGTACTCGATTATGGTGGAGATTTCTTTGTGTTATAGATCCTGTTTGACTCATTGAATTAGACTGAAAACTACATAAGTGTAGTAGTATGTGTGCAGTATTCTGAGATCTAAGTTTTATTATAAATATTAAGTCACTTTGCTCTTTTATTAGAACTAATCAAGCAAGATCAAGTCTTTGAGTTTCAGATTATTACATTTTATTTCCCCTAAAATCAGCCAAATTTTGAAAGGAAAAGCACTTTGGAGGTCTTTACAGAGTAAATATTCTGTTTTAGAATTATTCTTTCTGTACAATTGCAGGTGGGGAGTACCAGGAGTCTTATAAAAACTGTAAAAAATATTTATAATGGCAGGCATGATGATTGGTCTTAGTTTTATGTTTTTGCTGATCTCAAAAGCATTGATAATGAGGAAATTATGCTTTTATAATTGGGCATGAATAAATGAAAAACCAGATAATTTATTACATTATCATTTCTAAGTCATTTTCTAAAAGTTTAAAATAAGAACATAAAAGGGCAGTGTGTTCAAATGTAGGGTTTTTCCTTTTCTTTGTAACAGAAACTTCCAAAAAAACAAATTACCTAAGTCCCTGAATATGAAATATGGACATTTTGAAGGAGTAAGTTGCAACTGTGTGTATGGCCACAGTAAGTGGTTGAATGTTTTTACAATGAAAATTATTTAAAATCCTATTAAAAACAGATTCTACATTTAGTGTTTATAGACTTTGAATTTTCAAGGCTGCAGATAAGAAAGTTGATTCTGAAAGGAAAATTATTGTGTTTTCTCGCCGTTTAATGAACAGCCTCACTTTCCTCCCACCTTCTGAGTGCCACACCTCCCTGCTCTCCATCAGTTCTAAGTCCATATGCTTTCCAGGCATCTCCATCCTCAGCTAGAGACAAGGAATGGAAGTGCTGTGCCTTCCAGAAACAACAGTAGCTGAAAAGTAAAGTAAGGAGATAATAGACTAACTTTCTTTCCTTACAAAGAACTTAGAAACAGGTGGGTCCTAGAGGTGCTTTAGAAAAGGGCAACACTCATCCTGGCCAGGTAGCACAGCTGGTTAGAGTGCCATCCCTATACACCAAGGTTGTGGGTTCAACCCCCGGCCAGGGCACACACAAGAATTAACTAATGAGTGTATATAAATAAGTCAAACAACAAATTGATGTCTCTCTCTCTCTCTCTCTCTCTCTCTCTCTCAAAAAAAGACAACATTCTTCCCAGGTGAACAAGCTACATTTGAGGAAGATCTAATAAACATCTATATTTAGGATTTAAATATACTTTGCATATTATTACTTTTTAAACACCTAAATAACAAAAATGTATAACTTCAGGGATGAGGAAAGTGTTCCTGTTTTTTGTAGATGAGCATGGGTCATGACATGATTTGGTTTTAATTTTAGATACTTAAACTCCAATAGCTTGCTTTCAATTGTCTGTGTATAAATAGAAAAAAGTACTAAGAATGTTAATGGGGAACACACTAGGAGAAATACACACAAATGCAAATTTCTGCCAGAAAGTTTTGGAAATGTAGGAGTTGTTTCTCTTTATAAATGCTTCTAACCTTTCACGACCCATTAATTTCATAAACCAATTTCAGCAACTGTGTCTATCAGAAATAGATATTTCCTTTACAAACACAAAGATCTTTTCCCCCACTGTGCCTGAAACTGCAACTTGACAACATGCTCAATAAGGCTTTGTTTAAATATTGGGTCCCAGTGCTAACAAATTCAGAAGCCAGAAATATTTTATGTTAAAACTGCCAGAGTATCTTTCATTCATTCTATTTTTCTTTATTGTTATAATTTAAACAAATTCAGAAATTTGGAGAGTTTCTGGCTACTCCAGTAAAACACTGCAAAGCCAAAGGGAAGAAATGGAAATGAAGAAATGCCTGATTTTTTAACTGCTCTGCCCTTATGACCAGGAATCTCACATCCTGGTTCTGAATACATCGCTAGCATTTGCTCCAAAAAGATCTCTGACACTAGAGCAAGTCAGAACCCCTTCATGTCAGGGCCTACTTAACCGCAGGGAAAGCAACTTTCACACACACTTGAGGTTTAGGTAGCTCGCACATTATCTAGAAGCCAGACTTAAATTTTGTAAAAAGTCTCCAAATAGCAAAAGAAATTAAAATCTAGATAGATACCAGAACTAAAAACAGCATGTGAGGCAACAAACAATATTTCCAGTCTAACCAAATTACAACCTTTTCAGTATAGCTTGAGGTATTTTTTAAATATTTGTAGAAGCTAAATAGCATTCACAGTTTCCAAAGTTGCTTTCTACTGAGATGGATCAAATTCTCATAATATTTAACTTCCAGAGATGTTTTCATGGACCAGAGTCTCTGTCCTCAGACTCATGGAAATGTTAGACAGCTATTCGGTGGCAGAAAATGGTTCTTGTAGTAATAAATGTTCTATTTCCCATTATTGTGCTATTCTTAGGATGTGATTAAAAAAATAATTTGCAATTTATATAAAAGGAAAACTTGCTTAAACTTCTGAAAGCAAATCCAGTCTGGTGGAGGTATAGAAGACATTAAATAACAGAGTCAGATTCTTTCTTCAAGATTCCAGGTGAACTTGACAGCAGAGAGTTCTGGTTCTCCAGCATTTTCTCCATCTTTTCTCCTGCAGTGGTTTTATTGATCTCTCTTTGCTTCTTACTATGGATCCATGGGATAAAGCAAAGGACAGCACCTCCAATAAGGGGAGGGACCCCAGCGAGGTAGAATGCCACATCATAGGAACCCAGCTTCTCACGAAGTAACCCTGGGAAGAGAAAACACTGTCACCAAGAGAAACAGGGGGGCTTTCGGGGGTCTCAGATCCGGCACAGTGGTGGCCTGCCTAGTTCCACCCTAGTGACTGCATCTCAGCAGAACTAGTTCAAACATCTCAGATGATTAAACATGTTTAGGAAGTGTGCCTGAAATATAAACCATTTCTGATATGAAGAAGGAAAAGAGCTCCTATCTTTAATCTCATCACAGACTACAGGCCTCTGGGTTTTTATACCAAAATATTACATGGAAAAAAATATTTGCAACTAAGCTTTGGTTTTTTCAAAACCCTTCAGAGGTCATTTGGGGCATTCTGACACATGGTGTAAAGGTGGGTAGACCACCAAGCTTAAACTTCTCATAGACACTGCAAAATGTCTACCGTTTCAAACCTTTCTTGGGCCTATTTGTTTATGAAATAACATGAAGCCATTGAACATTATAATTTAAAATCACGAACAATGATAAACATAAGTTAGGAAGGAAAAGGTTGTTAAATACATTTTGGAAAGATAACTAAGGTCTGTCACCACATGAGAGGAAAAGGTGAGAATCTGTGTGGCACTCTTAGATCCTTGGGTTGTGCTTCTCAAACTGTTATTTAGCATACTCCTTGTATCTAATTGATCTAACACAATCCAATGTTTAATTAGTTATCTTAGTGTTTTTAAACTTTTTAAAAAATATTTTTATTAATTTCAGAGAGGAAGGGAGAGGGAGAGAGAGATAGAAACATCAATGATGAGAATCATTGATTGGCTGCCTCCTGCACAACCCCCGGGGATCAAGCCCACAACCTGGGCATGTGCCCTGACCAGGAATCAAATAGTGTGACCTCTTGGTTCCTTCATAGGTTGGCGCTCAACCACTGAGCCACACCGGATGGGCTCACCTTTTAACATGTTTACTACGCAACCTCAGTTATCTGAAATGTGTAGGGAACACACAGAGCACTAAATATCTGACTCTGCGAGGATGTGTCCCGTTAAGTCCCAACACATTAAAAAGGGTGCACTTTCATTCTGGATGGAAACCTAGAGCATCCAGCATGTCCAAATACGTGATTTCCTATCTCCTGAATCAGAACATTTAATGTATAACTGAACCTTTCATCCTTATGAGCACTAACTATTGTGTTTGGCTATGATACTGTGGCCCCTCAGAGCCTCCTGGGGAGCTGGGGGCTTTCTGCTGCCAGTTGCTGTGTTGCTCTGCCTGCTTTGGGAACTCCCTGTTACTCCTTTATTCTCGTCTGCTATCAGTTACTTCTAGTAGCAAACCCCATTCCACAGCTACCTGTCATCCCCTGTGGACTTGGAAACCCTAAGAAATGAAGCTTGTAAGGTATAAAAATAGTGCGACTAATGGGGAGTGAGCAAGGACGGGGGTTCTCCTCTAAGGAGACTGTGATCTTTAGACTTAAATGTTGTTTGGTCTGCACGGTGGTGACTCTGCTTGCTGGGTTCATGACTAGGTTCCCAACTGGCAAAGTTGCTTGGTACATGTGGTTCTGGATATGAGAATGAATCGAGCTGAACTTTAACTGAGCCCTTCACATGCCAGAAACAGAAGATAGTACATACATTTAAATTTTGTCATAATTTTATCAAATCTTATCATAAAAATTCACATTCGCACCCAAGTAATACTGAAAGAAGAAATCTTTATACTATCATTCAAAAGATTTCTAAAGGTGAAATTCACATAACATAAAATTAACCATTTTAATGGCACTTAGTACATTCACAATGCTATGCAACCACCACCTCTATCTAGTTCTGAAATGTTTTAATCACACCAGAACAAAACTCCTTTATCCCCTTCCCTCTGGCCCCTGGCAACCACACATCTACTCTCTGCCTCCATGGATTTTCCTATTTTGGATGTTTTATATAAATGGAATCATGCAATATGTGGCATTTTGTATTTGGCTTTTTGTAGCACAAAAAAACAAAACAAAACAAAACAAAAAAAACACCCAAAAGACTAGCAACTAATAAATTATACATTTACATCCAAGTGAGACTTAGGACCTGTAGTAAAAAATGCTATGAATTAATATAATTATTGGAGAATAATTACATTTACCTGCAATGGGTGGCCCCACAGTCATGGGTATAGACATGAATCCGAGCAGAAACCCAATTGCTTGGGAAACGTCCTGGGCACCAACTAACTCAAAGGCAATGGGGGCCATAATTGAAATGAAGCATCCATCGAAGAGGCCCATGATGAGACAGACGGCGATGAGGGCCCCAAAGACACTGCACAAGGGAATCATCATGGACATCAGACCAATGAAGACGAAGGAGAGCACCTAGGACAGACACCACATGTCAACTCTGCTGTCAGGAAAAGTGAATTTTGCAATTACTGAGCAATATGTTTAGAACTTTTAAGAAGTTACTGCTTAGTCGCCGCCCCCCCCCCAGCCCCATTCACCTTGATTTTATATACATAATCAACTTCCGTAATCAACTCCCTGAGTTCCCCTAGCACTTTCTCAGTATTTCCATTGAGGCAGTAATTTTCAACCTTTTCCATCTCATGGCACACATAAACTAATTACTAAAATTCAGGGGCACACCAAAAAAAATTTTTTTTTTTTACAAAAAATAGGTATAATTTTGATTCATTCACACAAATGCCCGTTGTTGTGTTGGCTGTTGTCATTTTTGTTGTTGTTAATCCTCACCCGAGGATATTTTTCCAGATTTTTTTAGAGAGAGTGAAAGGAATGGGGAGAGACAGAGAGAAACATAGTTGTGAGAGAGACACATCAATTGGTTGCCTCCCACACATGTCCCGACTGGCACTGGAAATTGAGCCTGCAACTAAGGTATGTGCCCTTGACTGGAATTAAACCCTCAACCCTTCAGTCCACGGGCCAACACTCTATCCAAACTGGCTAGGGGCTGTTGTCATTTTTTTTTTAATTAAATATATTTTTATTGATTTTTACAGAGAGGAAGGGAGAGGGATAGGGAGTTAGAAACATCGATGGGAGAGAAACATTGATCAGCTGCCTTCTGCACACTCCCCACCGGGGATGTGCCCACAACCAAGGTACATACCCTTGACCGGAATTGAACCTGGGACCCTTGAGTCCGCAGGCCGACACTCTATCCGCTGAGCCAAACTGGCTAGGGGCTGTTGTCATTTTTTTATTTGACAGTCTAAGTGAAAGGAAGTCAGTGCCCTAAGTGTCACGTATTACATGTTTTTATTATTATTATTTTTTTAAAATATGTTTTTATTGACTTGAAAGAGAGAGGAAGGGAGATGGAGAGAGAGAGAGAGAGAGAGAGAGAGAGAGAGAGAGAGAGAGAGAGAGAAACATCAATGTGAGAGAGAAACATCATTCGGCTGTCTCCTGCACGCCCTCTACTGGAGACTGAGCCAGCAACCCAGGCATGTGCCCTGACTGGGAAGCCAATGGGCAACCTCTTGTACATGGCATCATGTTCCACCAACTGAGCCACACCGGTCAGGGCAGGTATTGCATGTTTTAAAAATTCTTGAAAATTACTGTAATAAAGAGACAAGAAAAAAGTAACTATTTTTCCCTCCCAGCCTGTAAGCTCTTTGAAGTCAGAATCTGTACAAGCCACCTTTGAACTAGATATTTACAAGGGTTAAGGATCTTGTACCAGGTCACTGCTCAGTAAATACTAGTTCTTTATGCCATGGCCAGTTTGGCTCAGTGGCTAGAGTGTCGGTCTATGGACTGAAGGGTCCCGGTTCGATTCCAGTCAACGGGCTCCATCCCTAGTAGGGGGCATGCAGGGAGGCAGCCAATTAATGATTCTCTCTCATCATTGATGTTTCTCTCTCTCCCTCTTCCTTCCTCTCTGAAATCAATAAAAATATATTTTAAAAAATAATAAATTAAAAATAAATAAATTACTAGTTATTTGAATATCAGCTCAAATTCATTCATCAAACATTTGATTCTGAGCCCTGGCCAGGTAGCCCAGTCAGTTAGAGTGTACCAAGACTGCAGGTTCAATTCCTCAGTCATGGCACATACAAGAATCAACCAATGAATGCATGAATAAGTAGAACAACAAAGATGTTTCTCTCTCTGCGTCTCTCTCTCTCTAAAAATTGGTAAAATAATTTATTTTTAATTGTACCTTTGAAATTATATATACTTTATTGTTATTACATAAAAATAAAGTATTGTTATTTAATAACAGGGACATGCAGGGGTCAACCAATGAATTCATGAATGGATGGAATAATAGGTTGATATTTCTTCCTCTCTCCCTCTCTTCTCTTTCTCTCTCCTCTCTAAAATCAATTTTTAAATATTTTTTAAAAAAGAAAAAGCTGAAAGTTTGTCATGCAACAAATGTCCATTAGAGGGCTCCCATGACACTTGAGAACAAGACCGAATGTTCTGCTAAATGTTTGACAAGGATATCCACAATTAGGTAATAATAAAAGGGGGAATGATCAGAGTACAACAAATACGTTTAAAAGTAGCACTGTCGCCCTGACTGGTTTGGCTCAGTGGATAGAGCGTCGGCCTGTGGACTGAAGGGTCCCGGGTTCGATTCCGGTCAAGGGCATGTACCTTGGTTGCTGGCACATCCCTGGTGGGGGGTGTGCAGGAGGCAGCTGATTGATGTTTCTCTCTCATCGAAGTTTCTAACTCTCTATCCCTCTCCCTTCCACTCTGTAAAAAAATCAAGAAAATATATTTTTTAAAAAAAGTAGCACTGTCCCACACTTCCTTCTAGCTGTATGAGCAGACTCCGTCCTGTGGCGGTCCGCCTGGACCTATACAGACACCCACAGTGAGGTGGCCTCTCTGTCTCAGCGTTCACCTCTCTATGTGGAAATGACATTACCTTCCTCACAGGGTAGGGGCGAAGAGTAAAGGAGATACTTCATCGTGGAAGTGCTCAATGTGTGGTGGTTGGTATTACTTCACATCAATTAACGGAAGTTCTTTTGTGTGTGTTACATACCACTGAGTGAGCCCTGCCTCCTAACGCCCCTATGAATGAGTGATGTCCACAGTGTCCCGTCCTCAATAGCCCTGCTCAGCTCCTGTAGACTCCTGCCTGTGGCTTCTTTTATGGAGTGAGCCCATCTCATATTTGTTCTTCCTCTTTATGCTGCCTTCTGTTTTTCCCAGCATTACTGTCTTTTCCAAAGAACCCTGCCTTCTCATGATGTGCCCAAAGTAGGACAGCTTCAGTTTTGCCATGTTTGCCTCTGGCTATGTTTCAGGCTTAATTTGCTCTAGGACCCATTTGTCTTTCTAGTGGTCCAGGGTATCAGTAGAGCTCTCCTCCAACACCATATTTCAAATGAATCTTTTTTTTCCTATCAACCTTCTTCACTGTCCAACTTTTGTATCCATACATAGTAAATTACTTTATGCCTTTTCCAATCATTTTCCTGTGCCCAAATTCCACCTCTCCTTCAAGGCCCTCCTCCTCAAATACTGCCTCTCCTCTGTATAGTAGGCAGACATGCTCAATCCCCAACCCCAGAGCCACTTTGTGGCTCTCCTTTACCTTCCTTCCACAGCCAAGCTTTTGGGCAAAGTTGTCTACATTTCCATTTATTCAACTGATCATGATCAGGCTTCAAACATTGTTTCCCAGACATAATATACTCCATCACACCTCACCTCTTTGCACATATGGTTTCTTCTGCCGGTCCTTATCTGTCTACTATTCTCCCCTTAACACTCTGCCAGCCTAGGAGGCCTGCTCACAACCCCACAAGTGATTCAGATGCTTGGCGTCTATGTTGCTATGGTACCCATCTAGCATACGTATATTCCACTGTGCTATAACACTTATCTGTCTTCCCATGATACCATTAGCTACTAATTGAGGGTACAGACCATGTTTCATCTGTAGCATATAACACAGTGTCTGGTATGGAGGAGTCACTTAAATACTTGTCAGATGAGGTCCATATGCTCTTAGAATTAGCATTTGTTTAGTGTGTACTCCACAATACCCAGAAGGCAATTTGCAATAAAGAAGCTCAAAAAACAAACATGCACACCCCTGAATTTCACAAGATATTGCAAAAGGCACATGACTATAAAAACTGTGCAGAAACCACAATTCCTAGAAAAAGTAATGGGCAAAAAACATTTTGATTTGGTGGAGTTCTATGGCAAAACAAAGAAGGTTGCTGTTTGATCGCCAATTTTTCATACTGAAAACCCAACACTCATAACTGAGTTTGCCCTTGAAAAACTGCTAGTAGAAGTTAGGTTCTAGAAAATATTCCTCATTTTTACAGAAGAATTTGAGCAAATAAATACACATAAGGAGACACTAGGCAATGGAATAGTGTTGCTGGGGGACAGGACTAAAGAGAGTACCTGTAGGTAAACCTTCTTCACGCCAGGCACGTAGTCTGCAATCCGGCCAAAGAGCAGCCGTCCAACTCCCGACGTGATGCCAATGCACATGAGAACCACCTCCTTGTTGGTTTCCTCTTTAAACCTTTCGTTCACATGTTTCACCTGGAGACCAAAGAGAATGAAGCCACACTAAATATGGGAGGAAACGTTGACAGGTCTTGAAGCACTGTACTAATGCCTTTGGGTCTCTACAATGTTATGGAATCTCAGCCCCTTGCAACATCAAATATTTATTAAAAGTGCTCCGTGAGAACATATGAAGAAAAGCTAACGTGATTTAGTGTGCATGAAAGGGATGAGAATTTCTATGAGGTCTTTTTAAATTTGTAATAAAGGGTTACCCACGCACACTTTATAAGTTAACCTCGATCCGTTCGCTAAAGGAAGAGAACAGCCCTTTGAACACAGCACACAACCCTGCTCTCTCAAGGTCACCCAAGGACCCAGCACGTTATCTCCTCCCCTGAAAGGCAGTTGAGGGACCCATGCTGGAGTTCCAGCTCCGCGAGGAGGGCCCGAACCAAACGAACAGCCCTGGGTTAAGTTGCACTGGGGCCTCCAGGATAGAAGCATAAGGTTGTCTCTCTGTGAATTTGCCTATTTCTGTGACCTTACGATACGGAGGCCGTTGAACAGTGTTGAACAGAAAAGCCTCCAGAGAGACTGCTTGGGGTCAAGTCCTGCTTCCATTCCTTATCAGCCTGGGGCCCTGGGTAAGTTCTTACCCATCAGGGCCTCCGTTTCTTTGCTGGTCAATGGAGATGGCAATAGTACTTCAAGGGGGCAGCTATAATTATTAAATATCTGTAGGAAGAATTAGAAGAGTGCCTGGCACACAGCTAATAATGATCGGATATTAATTTTAGCCTCATTATTTTAAAGGGGCCTTTCCTTTACTTTACAGTCTACTTAGAACAATGACGGTAAGCCAGCAGCCTGACAATGTTGAAGAAGGCAGGTGACCAGGCAGGTGTTATACTGGGTGACAACACGCAGCTCAGCACCCACCATGAGCTTTGCTCCCACAGCCAGGGTTTAACAGCTTCACAGTTTGCCCCACCTCTCTTAGCATTTCCATTGTCTTCATGATCATCCATCTGTGCTCACAACAAGGAGAAAAAGCACACTGCGCTCCTACTGAGAGGTTAGAGCAAACACAAACAGCTGTTTCAAACGGCCAGCCTCACGGTGCCCCTACACCAAACACTGGCCTGAATTCCGGAAGCCTGCAAAGCAGATCTCCCAACGCACACGCTATAAGCCAGTCCAGAGGCCCAGATGGTCCCCATGTGGCACTGGCAGGCTTCCCGGATGACATCTCCCTCAGAGACGTCCAGTTCGCAGTTTTTAGCCCACGTGGTTATGCCACCACCATCACATCTGTCTTTTCCCTTTCAAAACTGGTAACTGTTCTCCTAACTTCTGTATTTTCACTGGTCCAGAATAATCCTCCTAAATATGGTTTAATCTCATCAATCCCTTATTCACCAGTTGCCTGATGCCTACATTTATACTCCTTAGTTTAGCATTAAAAGCCCTCCTTGACCTGTCACCAATCCATCTTTGTACCTTGATTACCTACCAACCCTGGACTCAGAAGTAGAGTAAATACCCAAATGCCTGCAGGACGCAAGCCCAGTGCATAAAACCGACCGCTGGAGAGGGGAGCGTTCCCACAGAAGACCACCAGTGTTGCCAAGCTACCGCCCAGCCCCCTTTTATTTTAAAAAGCAGAAATCTGGACTTTTGTGTGGAAGTGCTGGCACCTTACTAAATTTAGAACACTGCATGATCCAACCCCACCCATGCGAGCCAAACAAAACGTCTGCAAACTGCATTAGGCCAGCTTTGATCTCAGCCCTAACCCATCTGGCCCAGCAGGATGGGTATATTCAGTGTCTGACACATTCTTACCTCACTACATTTCTGCTGCCGCTTCTACCTTCTTTGACTTTCTAAATTCTATCCATTCTTTAAGAGTCTGCTTAATCCCTGCTTTTCTACAAAGCTGCCCTTGGTTCCCTCAGCCTCACACCCCCTCCTTGTTAACTGCCTAAAGTTTTCACTGGCACCTTAAGTACTGGGTTCCTTCCCAGCCTTTATAGCTTCTAACTCTAAATATACTCGAGTAAACTCTTCCCTGTCAAACTGGACATATCTACCTGCCTGTGACAAAAGTACCTCAGGGTCACCATGCCCCATGCTGAACTCATCTCCCCTTACAACCTGTCCTCCCTCCATGTCAGTTAACACGACTGCCGTTGGCCCAACTACCCGAGGCAGGAACCTGGTAACTATCCTACCAGTAGATTACTCCCTCCCTCTCTCCAAATCCAACAGTGATTTGACCTCCTAAATCTCTGTCAGACATACTTCCTTTGGCCCACGTTCCTCACAGTCTTTCTTTCTTTATTTATTTTATTTTATTTTTTTATTGAGAGGAATAGAGAAATAGAAACATCAATGATAAGAATCATTGATCCACTGCCTCCTGGATGCCCCCTACTAGGGATCCAGCCCGCAACCAGGGCATGTGCCCTTGACCAGAATTGAACCCAGGACCCTTCAGTCCACACGCCGACGCTCTATCCACTGAGCCAAACCAGCTAGGGGCCCCCACAGTGTTTCAATTCAGGTTCTTATCACTCCTCACCTAGACCACTACAACAGCCTCCGAACAATGCTTCTTGCTTGAACCCCACTCCTAAATCTCTAGCCTATATTCTCTGAAACCATCAAGTTAAGTTCTCTGCCTAAGATCCGTTTACAGCGCCCATAACCTTCAGGGTAAAGTTCAAACTCTTGGTTTGACAGATAAAACTTTCCTCCTTTGCTACTGCAGCCTCACCTGCAGCTGCCTCCTTATATTCTCCATGTTAATTAACACTGTGTTGTCCAATATGGCCTGAGCTATTGAGTACTTTAAATGTGGCTAGTCAAATTGAGATGTACTGTAAGTGTAAAACACACAGCCAATATAGAAAACTTAGTGGGGGGGGGGGCACGCAAAATATCTCAATAATTTAAAAATATTGATTCCATGTTGAAATAGTATTTTGTCTATATTGATTAAATGAAATATGAAACTACTTTCATTTTGTTTTTTACTTTTTAACATATGGGGAAGGGTGGGGGAGGTGAAGAAGGGTATAGGGGTGATAAATGGTGATGGAAGGAGACTTGGGGTGGTGAACACACAATACAGTGTACAGATGATGTGTTGTAAAATTGTGCGCTTGAAACTTGTAAAATTTTGTTAATCAGTGTCAACCAATAAAGTCAATAAATAGGAAAAAATAAAATATGGCTACTAAAAATGTTTAAATTCCATATGTGGCTTGCATTATATTTCTATTGAACAATGTTGGTCTAAGAAATCCACTTGTGGCTGCAAAGGTAAGACAGCTGTCAATAAAGAGCCCCAAACTGGCTTATTCCTCCGAGCCCTTATTACTTCCCGTAAGTGAGATATTAGATAAAGTAGAAAGAGATAAATTCCATCTCAATTCTGAAGAAAAAGAATCACCTGACCTAAAGCAGGTCAGTGTGTTCATTGGTTTTATTTGGAATTGGAATCTAGACTCTACTGTATTAACCCACTTCAGGAAGCACCCAAAGGATCAATTATAACTTTTTAAAATTATTTTTATTGATTTCAGAGAGAAGGAGGGAGAGGGAGAGATAGAAACATCAATGATGAGAAAGAATCATTGATTGGCTGCCTCCTGTACTCCTCTTACTAGGGATCGAGCTGCAACCCAGACATGTGCCGACTGGAAATTGAACCGTGACCTCCTGGTTCATAGGTCGATGCTCAACTACTAAGCCACACTAGCCAGGCTCCCTCCACATTTTTAAGGGGATGGATGGTTTTTGCTTAATGTCTTGTATATATTTACATAATTTATTACATTACAAATATGATAAAAATGTTGGAGCATACAAGTTAAACTACAGGCATACTCTGAGGTATTGTAGGTTCAGTTCCAGGTCACCACAATAAAGCAAGCATCCCAATAAAGTGAGTGAGTAGAAATTTTCTTTGCCTTCAATTTGTAAAAAAAATAAAAACACAGCAACTATAAAAGCAGCGAGTATCACAATAAAGCAAGATATGCCTGTATATATCTTTGGTTAATAGTTCAAAAAAAGGGGGGACTGCAAGAGACTTAAAACAAAGATAGCTTTCTTTCTTTTCTCTCTCTCCCTCCCGCCTTCCCTCCCTAATCCTCACTTGAGGACATTTTCCCATTGATTTTTAGAGAGAGTGGAAGGAAGGGAGAGGGGGGAGAAAGAGAGAGAAACATTGATGTGAGAGAGACACATTGATTGACTGCCTCCCACACTCACCCTGACCCAGGCCAGGGGTGAAGCCTGCAACCTAGGTACATGCCCTTGATGGGAATCAAACCTGAGACCTTTCAATCTGAGGGCCAGCACTCTAACCACTGAGCAAACCAGCCAGGGCAAAGATAGCTTTATTCCTGACGGTGACTTGAAGTAACAGCTGACTGACTGAAGTACCAAGTGCTTACAGAGGCAGTACTTTTGGGACGCTAGGAAAGCGGGGCCAAAAGAGGCCCCGTAGAGCACTGCAGGATACGGAACTAAAAGACTACAACCGCCTTTGCAGAAGGGAAGGGGAAAACGTCAACAATATGTCTCATCCCTTGTTGCAGTTACTATGCACTTTGGAAGATAAACAGATTCCAGCCATGCAGTCATCGGCTCTTTTCTGTGATGATTTTGACTCCCCGATCCTCTTGTCCTTCCTCTTCAGATATTTGTCAAACTCAGAAGAGGGGTAGACAACAGGTAGGCATGTGCACTCACTTTGTCTCTAAGAGAATGAAGTCTTTGGGCTGGAGCAGGGGACCTGCATCTTTTACATTTACATGGTGCATCCAAAAACATGGTGAAAAATGCTAGACAGTATTTTCAGTGGTTTGGGAATGCAGAATGATTTCTGCGGTTTCCTACTTTTAACAGGTAGACTGAGTTCAGAACACTTTCACTCTCCTCTTGCTTTTCACCCCAGAGATTAGCAACCTCACCTTGTTGCCTCTCATTTGCTTGCAGTTTAATTTCTAAGACTATAAAAT